CCCAACCCAGGCTCTCTGCCCGCACAAGGCACGCCCTGCTCCTGAGGATGTCTCTTCCCACCAACATAATCAACTCCTGGGCCTCTCCCATTGCCACACGTATCCCCAGCAACAAACTCAAGATGAAGACTTGGTGGAGCTTCCTGACATTTACGGGAATGTTGCTCCTCCCATCTCTCAGGGAGGCACCATAATGACCATGCATCTGTGGGTGGTGATGCCAGCCTGTCAGTCATGACAAGTCTGACCTAGAGAGATACCCTGATCAGAACCCAACCGCACCCCTAACACGCAAAGTGCACCCTGTGCACTGACATGTGAGCAGTCACAAATGATACATAAGATGATCTGTAAGGGAGCCACAGTATATTGTAAAGACCAAACTACTCCAGATCTTATGATCCGGCACAACCAAATCAAGGTAGGAATCAACTATAGCAAATTATCCAGAAACTCTCCAATGTTTAGAAATTGAGCAATATACCTCTTTAAAAAATTGATTGCTCCTGAGAACTAGTGATTTCAGGGAAAAAAGAGAAATGAAGATTTTCTACTGATAATTCAGCCTCCAGCTCCCAAACTCGAGTAGTAGGGAGCCCCTGTAGCCTTCTCTTGGTCTGTGTCTCTGTCTCTCTCTGCTTTTCTCTCGGTCTTCTCATATTTTTTTTTTGGAGAGGTTTTTGCTACAGGGCGCGTGCGTTCGCCAGACAGACAGAGAGAGAGACATAGAGACAGAAAGCGAGAAATCACCCCCCAGGGGGGATGGTCATGCCGCAATCCCTTCTCCTCTATTCTCTCGGGATCTTGGGCACGCATGCACATGCACCTGGTGTGAGTTCTAAGCCACCAGGTCTGGGACGCAAACCGCGGTCGACTACGTGGGAGTCTAGCGACATAGCCATTACGCTAACTGCTGGTTCTCCCTCATTTTTTTTTTTTTTTGTATTTTTTCCTTTTAAAAAAATTTTACATATTCTTTCAGCTTTCAGTTCCTCCTTTATCTTTATTAGTTCCCTTTTCCCTCTCCCCTCCAGGAGAAGCAAGGAGCAGGCCTTCAGAAGACTCCACCACTGCTCCTGAGAATGAGTAATTTTGCGCAGCATGCTTACACTCTGCACAGCTTTTTAGTTTCTGTTTTTTTTTTTAAAGAAAGGGACCAGCAGTTGGCGTAATGGCTGTGTCGCTAGAATCCCATGTAGTCAACCGTGGTTCAAGTCCTGGACCTGGTGGCTTAAACTCTGGTTGGGCATGGGTGTGTGTGTGTGCCCAAGATCCCAAGAGGAGAATGGAGGTGGGATTGCGGTGGAGCCATCATCCCCTGGGGGGATGATTTTCTCGCTTTCTGTCTCTCTTTCTGGCAAGGGCACATGCCCTATAGCAAATACCTCTCCAAAAAAAGAAAAAGAAAAAAAAGTGTTTTTTTTTTTAAGATCAATAAAATTGATAAATCTTAGACTGATTGAGAAAAACAAGAAAAAGGTATGACATCAATTACCCATATTAAGAATGATGATGAGTCATTACAAATGATACAGACATTGGGACCAGCAGTTAGCATAATGGCTATGTCGTTGGACTCCCACATAGTCGACCATGGTTCGAGTCCCGGACCTGGTGGCTTAAACACATGCCAGGCGCATGAGCGTGCATGTCCAAGATCCCGAGAGGAGAATGGAGGAGAAGAGACTGTGGCATGGCCATCCCTCCCAGTGGGGTGATTTCTCACTTTCTGTCTCTCTGTCTGTCTCTGTCTGTCTGGCGAGCACATGCGCCCTATAGCAAAAACCTCTCCAAAAATAAAAGAAAAAGATACAGACATTAAAAAGTTAATAAAGAACTACTACAAACAATTATGTGCCAATAATTTTCTTTTTTTCTCTCCTTTTTTCTTTCATTCTTTTTTTTGGGGGAGTAAGGGGAGATTTTTGCTATAGGGCACATGCACTCACCAGAAAAACAGAGAGAGACAGAGAGACAGAAAGCAAGAAATTTCCCCCTCAGGGAGGATGGCCACGCCGCAATCCCTTCTTCTCTAGTCTCCTCTCGGGATCTTGGACACGCATGCACACGTGCCTGGCATGAGTTTAAGCCCCGCGTCTGGGACTCAAACTGCGGTCAACTACATGAGAGTCCAGCGACATAGCCATTATGCCATCTGCTGGTCCCAATATATGCCAATAATTTAACACACTGGATAAAATGGAAAGATTCCTTCAAACAGTGGTCTCCAACCTTCCTGGCATCAGGGTCCGGCCTTGTAGAAACAATCTCTCCACAGCTGATGGAAGTCTTTGCCATTGCGTGGTGGGGAGTGGTCCCAGAATGACCCTAGTGTACCACACCCACTGGGCATCTACTTCCACCACCATCGCCTGGTATGTACAATCAAAGAATCACACAATAGGCTTCACGCCCTCAGAGAAACCCAGTACCACTGCTGATCCAACAGGAGGAGCCCAGGCAACAGTGCAAGCCATGGGGAGTGGCTGCAAACACAAATGAAGCCTCAGCCCCTCCCCTGCCTGCTACCCATTGTGGCCTAGAGGACCTGGGCTGATTTAGATCTTACTGCCTTTAAAGACAGAAATTACCTAAGTGTACTCAGTATTACATTGATAACATAGCCTTATAGTCAATGCAAAGTTGGATTTGTAACAGTACCTTCATACACACACACACACACACACCCACACAACCACTCCACTGGTACGCTCACTGGTGAATACTATGAAAAAATGTAAGGAGCAAATTATACCAATACTACATCAAATCTTCTCAGACAGGAGGAAGAAATATATCCAAAATAAACAGGCATTGTGAGAAAAGGAAAGAAAATCAGATTAGGCCAGCCCATGGCCTGTGGTTAAGACAGCTAGATCCCACGTGGCTGACCACAGTCCCAACCCCACTCTAGCAGTTTGAAAAACACACCAGGCACGTGTGCTTGCATCGAATTCCTGAAAAGGAGAGAGAAGTGGAGGGACTGTGGTGTGAGTATGCCCCATGGGGGGGGGTGCTTTCTCACTCTCTCTGGCAAAGAAGGAAAATTAGATTATGGATCAGTATCCTTCAGGAGCAACATCCCAAACCGTTAAAAAAAAAAAAAAGTTACGGAGTTTAGCCAAGCAGCACATAAAAAGACAACATCCTACTTCCTTGGCCCGCTGAGTTTTCGGACCAGCAGTGCTGGCTCGACATTTGGAAACCAACCGGAGTAATCCACCCTACTGCCAGGTTAAAGCGGAAAAACCGCAAGATCACTGCGACATATGGGAAAGGCACTGAGAGAAGTTCACACCCCCGCGGGATGCGAGCCTTTCTACCGCGGGGCAGAGGGCAGTCCTCGCCAGATGAGGCGCACGACAGCCGCGCCCTCCTGCACCTCGGCAGGAAGGAACCCTCGCCGACCACGCGGACCATGACCGTACAACCGCGCCAGGCACCGCCCACAGCGCTTACCCAATGGGGCCGCAGCGGCCCCCTGTGCCCACCTCTCATCAAGCTCGGCCAATGGGGCCGCCGCATCTGCGCCAGCGTCCTGGGCCCTCGACCAATAGTGTCGCCGCATGTGCCACGACCGTTAGCGGTAGAGGTGGGACGCTGACCCGAGCGCGAGAGGCGTCGGGCCTGCTGACGTCACGGCTGGCGCTCCGCCCCATTAGCCGAGGGCGGCGGGAGAGGAGCTGCCGCGTGCGGGCGAAGGAGGTGGCGGCGCCATG